TCATCCATTCAAGTGATAGGGTTTTGTCTTTGATAGATTTTCCGTATAATGAGCAACTCAGTACACCTGAAATGGAACGCTGAGTTAAGTTTCTCAAGGAAGACGGGTAATACTAATATTTAGGGCTATTCTAGGTGGCCTCTCTAAACCTCATCTCATTAGTGGGGAATTAGGCCCAAAATTTGTAGGCAAACTTCTAAGCTGAGTTCGGGAAGGTAGAAGATGAATTTTTATTTGCTTCTGTATGGTTCAGACTTTAGAGAATAAATTAAGATAATGGAAAATGAGTCAAACCAAAGGAAATGGAGTGTAAAATTCCAGAAAATGATTAGTCTATTTTTGTATGGTAGGAAATACTATTCTGCTTCAGAATAATAGGCGTATTCTTACATGTTTTTGAATCAAAATCGCTTAATTTCGTTGAAATTAAGTTGGAGTATTAGTTGGTATGTCTGCACATATAAGAGGGCATTATATAAAACCCTTGCTTAATGAACTTACAAATATAAAAAGCATGACTTCTAATATAGGAGAGCGCTCAAGAGGAATAAAAAACACTTAGAGGCCAAAGCCGCCTTAGCTGATTATAATCTTAGTTCGAAAAAAATTACACGAATGTTGGTGACAGAAAAGTTACATGTACTGCAATGAAATTACATTTTTGTAAAGTTATTATTCCAGATTTCCAATTTTCAGTTATATTAATTACATCCTGAGTATTTTCAAAATTTTAAGCGACTTTTAGTTTCTTTATTCCAGGATTTATTTGATGTATCCTTATCACTTTATTGTTTACTACTTCACATTGCTCTTTAGCTGGACAACACAACTAATCTTTTTAATAGTCCGTATCATTTAGCGAACAAGAGTGCCTTTGGTATAGCAATTTCATATTACAGCCATACAATTTGATTTGGAGACCCCCAACAGCTAATCCTTCCTTCGTGTTTCTTTAGTAGTGATGGTATGCAAAGTGAGGGAGTGGTGTTTGTTAACTTTTCTTCTAGACATTATTTATTGTTTAGATATTTTAGTTTTTTTATATCCTGTTTCTTCCTCCTAGCATTGGATAGGTAAACTTCATTTTCATAAATAGAACAGTCTTTGACTTTTGTGTATTTAAGGTGCTTATCATTTCTACTGCTATGCAGAAAGCTGGGAGCTGAAGTGAAGATCTTGAATCACTGTAAAACTGGCGGTAGCTGGAGGTATGCTGCCAGTAGCAGCCTCTGCGCCCAGACTTTGAGATACTATTAGTGCTTCCTTGAATGATAAAGTTTCTGAGGATAAGATTGACATGTTACATACAACTGAAAGCTAGCCTAAGGTTATTTAACTAATCTTGGATATGGTTCTACATCCAAGAAACTAATTCTCTTAAACTCAAATGCAATCGCGATATAAGACAATTTATTATTACAAGGTAGGTAGTAATTTTGAATCCTTTGATCATCTAACTCGAATCAATTTTTTATGGTTAATCCACTTGCCTCATCACTTAATCGATTTTGTTTTTTAGTAGAGTTAGAAGATGTCGACTGGAAGAAATTACAAGGAAAAAAACTTTTAGAGAAGTACATGTTACAACTATCTACTACTATTATTACCTCAAAGAATTAAAGGCAGTTTATTCATTTCATTAAGGTAGACCTAAATCTATCAGATTTACTTTAAATATTTCTTATGTGAATGGGTTAATTGGAATTCATATATTTACCTCAGGTCTCATTCCATTCATCATAATAAAGATAACTACAGCAAATATACCTGATTGCTTAAGAATTTTATAGTAGGTTTTATTATATATACGCAAAGGCATTAAAATGGTCATAAAGCAGGATGTGTTATTCTTTTAAATTGCATAAGCGGTTGCTCTAATCTTTGGAGTGTGAGCTTCCTGTGTTAACAATGGTTTGATGATAAAGTTCGGTTCTTTGTTCCATTTTTTGTTAGAATTGGTTATTTGGTTTTCGTAAAAATACAAAAGGTCATCTTATAGGCTATCTAAATATTCACCAAGGGACACATCTTTACATTCACCAAACAAAGACTGGACGTAGGAGACTAGGAGCCAAGGATTTGTAGTTGTCGGACGGTTACAATCGCGCTGAACATGACATCTAAGCAACCGACCAACCTTTTTAGCCGGCGGCCGGAAAAGTTTAATCACGGAGTACGTGAAAAGGTCCAGAGACCATCGGTCTAAGCTAGGGGTGGGCAAACGGGTCTTGGAACCGCGGTCCGGTCCGGGTAATGGCGGTTCGGGTCCAAAACGGGCCGGTTCCATTTTTTGTTGCCATAAAACGGTCCGGGTAGGTCCGGGTAATTTTTTTTAAGGACCCGGGCCGGTTCCAAAATAAAAAAATAGCGGGTACCCGGCCCGGCCCGTTATATATATTATATATTAATTTATTAATAGTTTTGTGATAATCGGTTTTGAAATAGTTTTGTTTTCCTTTGCTAGAAGTAGGATTTTAAATTGAGTTGCAGTAACATCATTTTGCTTTCAAATTATTGATTAAATTTTACATAAATTTCTTATTATTTTTATTGTTATTGAATTATTCCTTTCTATGGAATTTAATTACTCGTATTTGTTAAAAATGATTTTGTAATATTTGTTTTCATAATATTGTTCTTAAAATATATAAATTGTGATTACCACCCCCATGTATGAGTCAATTTTGGCTAATACTGAAAATTTGTTCTTAAAGTATATAAATTGTGATTACCACCCCCATGTATGTGTCACCTTAATATGTGATGTTAGACAACATTTTTAATTCAAATGTTAGAAAATATGTATTTTGGCTATGTTGCCGATTTTTGGAACTTTAATTGTTTGGAACTTATATACATGAAATTATGGAGTATTGGACTTGTCACTTGTGTTACATGTGCAGCACTATGTTGTTATTTTGCAACTTGCTAATGTACTATATCACTCCGTATTAATTATTGATTTTTGGAACTTTGTGAGTTTTTACTAATTTTAAGACATGAGAATAGAAACCGTAAAACCCGAACCGGACCGACCCGTTTCAAATGGGCCGGGTAAGGTCCGGTTCCTATTTTGAAATTTGCAATACCCGGACCGGACCGGACCGTACAATGGAACCGACGGTTCCATTTTATTTTGCATTACCCGCCCCGACCCGCCCCGTGCCCAGCCCTAGTCTAAGCTTTCAAATGATGAGTCTCCATTAGTTGTGAAGTGTTTAGAAGGGATAGATGGGGGTTATATAGTTCTAGGGGTGGGCATGGGTCGGGACGGTTCGAGACGTCCCAAACAAAAAAAAATAATCATTTGTAATTAGTATATATATTTGCATTTCTAAAGTATCATGCACCAAAATATTAACATTTTAAAAGTTAATTGACGTTCATCACAGGCTAAAAGCTACTACGTATTGGATTTTAGTTAGGTTTAGCAAAATTTGAAATTTAAATTTAAAACAAAGGAAAAATGAATTAGTTTATTCAAAATCATGTGTTCTAGTGAAGAGATACTCATATGTAGAAATATAAAGTGAGATAAAAACCTATGTTAGTAAATATATATGTTAGGTATTATTTTTAATTTAAAAATTGGGCATGAAAAACTAAAAACATGTTATCATTTATTTTTTGAGTTGACATTACAAACTAGTCACATGCTACAAAATCTATATAGTTATTACAAACGGGACAACGAGGCGATTCGGGATAACCTTCCAATGTCCCGGTCCCGTCCCGTTTTAAACCGGTGCGGGACAAAATCAATGAGACCCAAATGGAACGGGACAACACCGGTACAGTTTCGGGATATACCAGAATGGGACAACGGGACCGGGATTCTCGCCCGCCCCTATATAGTTCGGCGGTCATTTGGGTAGGTTTAGTTTTTTATGGGCTGGGTCAGGTAGCTTACCAATTAGTACTGTGTTGGGTTGTTGGGTTGGGTAGCTTTACTTATTATTACTTTTATTTAATTAATTAATTGTGTTGAGTTGGGTGGGTTTAGTTATTAATATTTTAGTTAATGGGTTTAAGATAGGTATCAAATTCTTTAATTATTTTTTGATTTTGTTATTAATCATTGGTTTATTTTATTAGTACTACGTAATTGTTATTTTTTGTTCAAATATTTTAATAATTCATTATTACTTCTAATTATGAAATATGAATTATGAATGTAATAATTTTTTTGAGTGGTTGAGTTCCTTTTATTGGGGAATTGCCTAAGGCAATTCCCCAATAAAATTGGATTTATCTAATGAAAGATATATATCAAAATTGGATTTATGTATATATCTTCCAAAGAAATGTATATAAGTATATATTATTTTTAGAAAAAGTTAATGAATTGTCTTTTTCCTTATTCTGCAGAAAACGTTGATGATAGAGTCAATAGTCAGCATCCTTCTCGACTTGTGGGAATCAGCTACAGTTCTTCTAAATGCACAAGATGAATTGCAATCGAAGGAATCTCTAATATTTTCACTATGAACATTTACTATTTTACTCATCACTTTGTAGTTTCAAGCATTATCTCTTTTATAATATTTACATTTTTCTGTCTTCAATGATGTTTTAACCAGTCTTTAACTATAAACACTTATTATACTCTATATTTCTTATCACTTTTTCCTCAGTTCAATTATTTTTTAGATTTTCATAATTGACTTCTTAATCACATATTGGTAAATTTTTATCCGCACAACGGGCGGGTGAGATTTAGGGAGTGTTTGCAACAGCTTCTGCTTTAAAAAAAGCACTTTTGGAGTGATTTGGAAAAAGTGATTATTTGTAAAAGTTGATAGTGTTTGAGAAAAAAGTGATTTTGAAAAGTAAAAGTTGGTAGTGTTTGGTAAAATAAGTGCTTTTGGTGTATAAAAAGTGGAAAAGCACTTTTGACACGAAAGCCGAGAAAAATAAAAAATTGGTAGTGTTTGGTAAATAAGTGTTTTTTTAAGCCAAAAGCTGAGAAGTGCTTTTTTTAAAGTGGTTGCAAACCAGCCTTTAGTAATTAGCAATGGAAGATGGAGCGGCGAGAACCTATGGAGATAGAAGCAGAAACGTAGCTCACATGTGGAGCCAGTGGCAATTGCTTGATTCCGTTCTTCCAACGGGCGGATTCGCTCATTCTTTTGGGCTAGAGGCAGCAATTCAAGCGCGTCTAGTGACGGGACCTGAAGATCTGAAAACGTATGTGATCCATGTTCTCGAAAACACCGCGAGTCTTCTTCTCCCTTTCGTTTACTCTGCAACTATTTCTCCGGACATGGAAACCTGGCACAAGCTTGATCGGACGCTGGAGGCCACGCTAACGAACGATGTGAGCCGAAAGGCGTCAATTTCGCAAGGATCTGCACTCATGAGAGTTGCCTCTGCGGTTTTCTCGGAACTCCCGATTCTCAAAGCGATGAGAGACACCTCTCTGTGTAGCGGAAATGTGAGATTCCACCAGGCGCCGATCTTCGGTATGGTTTGCGGGCTTCTCGGAATGGATCCAGAAGCTTCTCAAAAGGGCTACATGTACATAACAATGAGAGATTTGGTGTCTGCTGCAACAAGGTTGAATCTTGTGGGACCCCTGGGTGCAGCAGTTTTGCAACACCAGATTGCTTTAATCTCCGATGATTTGTCCAGAAAATGGATGGGCCGTCCTGTGGAAGATGCGTGCCAGACTTGTCCATTGATCGACACTGTGCAGGGCTGCCATGGTTACTTGTTTTCCAGGCTCTTTTGCTCCTGAATTCCTATGGACATAAATTTGCTGCCTGCCAATAATGCCTACTGCCCGTAGTCCCTTACTATGCAACTTAGCTGCTTAAATTCTTGGTATGAAAATCAATTTAGGGGGTGTTTGGATCTGATTCTCAAAACTGATTCTGCTCCTTCAGGGAGCAGAAGCAGAAGCTGGAGTGTTTGGGTGAAATTCCAGAAGCACTTCTGGGGCTCTAATTTACTCTCAGAATCAGTTTTTTTAGAAGTTGGGAGGTACCAGCTTCTGAAAACTGATTCTGATTCTGCTTCTGCTTTAAAAAAGAAGCAGAAGCAGAATCAGTTCCAAACACCCCCTTACTCCATCTTTATAAAAAGTGTTGCTAGCTCAGACATGCTAGCAAGCATGGGTTTATTGTGCTGAGCTGATTTGCAAGGGTTCTATATTAGGTACTGCTGTTCATTAAACATGTCAGATCTTTTTTTTGGTTTATTTGTCTAAAATGTAGTTGTATATGATATGGGTTATTGATTGAATAATGAACTAGAAGATTGATCACATTTAAGTATTAATAATGTTCATTTTGGAAACTGCCAATAAAATTGATATGAATATAAGTTAGTTTCAAATTTTGTTTGAAAAAAACTAGGTGTGCACACTTTTTATGTACACCCCCCTACTTTGCTTGTGCAGCTCATTTTATAAAGTCAGGAATGTCTGTGCATAAGCGAGTGTGTGAAGTGTACACTCTCTGTATACACCAAGAATTGCTCTATTTGTTTTTATTTTACAGGAGAAGAGAAAACATGTGTTGTAACTCTTCGTAGAATCACACTATGTAGTTCTTTAATTAAAAACTGATAGGAGTACAGAACTTGTCCAAGTAGTGAGTTTTGAAGCCGCGAGTGTTGTGTACTTCTGTACACCCATTTGCTCCAGGTTTAGTAGCCATAAAATAGTTCAGTGCTAAATAGTTCAGTGCTTTGTTTTATAACTTTTGTTTATTAAAAAAACAATTCATGGCTGAAACAGTGATGTTTATTACGGAGTACTTGTGTAGTTGTGTTTTAACAATAAATTATATCTTCTTCCTCAATGGAGCAATGGCCTTAGCGGTTTGTATGACATTCAAGTTCATTTTTCACCAAAGAATTATAACTTATTGCGTAGCCACATTTGCTCCAGGTTTAGTCCAGCTTCCTAATTTGACCCAAAAAATAAAATACAAACAGCAACTAAGATCTTCCTGGTTCTTTTCGTCAAACGAAAGAACTCACCGATGTGTTTTGTGCCAGGTCAGCCCTTAGGCTATTATGCCGGCTTTAGAAGGATGGATTCAACTTGCTCACTAGCCCGGATCACAGGAATACTTTTCTACTATTCTCACCGAAATTGATTGTGAATCGGCTTCAGGCTAAGAAAGAAGAGTCATGTTCAACCGATTGAAGAAAGCCTGGTTCGATATTAGGCATAGCTTAAGAAACAAGAACAAGTATGTAATGGTAAGTGCAGAATTGCAATTTCGGGGCCGTTTCCTTAATTAACAAGAATTTGGAAACTCATTTTTCTAAATAATTAGCACAATGAGAGGTACATAATCTTTTAATACAGTTTGTGTGCCAAACTAATCATTCATGCTGTAAAACTAAATCTAGCAACCCTAGAAACAATATTCTGTTTTCTGAATGACTAGTCCAAGGACAAAAAGTGTACAAGTCTTTGTATATTTCATTATGTAGAAAAGGTTGATAAGATATGCAAGGACTCAAAAGTATCTTATCTTTGTTTTAAAAAGAATTTTTCACTTTTCTTATTAGGATGTCTCCAAATAAACTTCACTTTTTCATAAAAGGGAATTGTTTATAGTAAATGTTACAACTACATTTACTTTTACTTATTAAATTTTTAGGTCAAATCGAATCCTAGGGGATGAAATAATAATAAAAAAAAATAAAAAAATAGAACCGGACCCGGCCGGGCCCGGAACCGGTGGTAACCTAGGGTCGGTCCTGGGTCTTCACCCCAACCTTCAAAAGCCCGTCGGGCCTAGGCCTGACCCCGGCCCGGCCCGGCCCGAGTCCAAGCCTACCCCAACCCCAGTGGTAAATACAGGGGTCCACCAGATATGATATAAGATTCACCCACACTTAGTATTGGTAGTATTTCTAGGGCCGTCTAGAACAATTGTGAGGCCCTAGACAATCATAAAGACAATTTGTTTCTTAATACATATAGATCCATAGAGACAAACGATTTTATAATCAAGTCATTTGTGACTTAATTTGTTCTTCTCTTTGTACACCCTGAATCATGTTTTTGTTTTTTCCATCACCACAAAACCTACAAGTTTATTCAAAATAATACTAAACTCGTCCTACTAATCTTGAGACATGAGAAGTATGTGTGTTTATTAAAAAGGTGCGTTTATATGGTTGATATTGATCAAATTGATAAAGTAAGAAAAAAGTAAAATGACTTAAAATCACACAAATTTTATCAATTTTGGTTGAGAAATCTTAGTATGACGGGCTTAAAAAGAAAGATTAGGCAATCTTAATGGGACGGAGGGAATTGTAAATAAGTAAATGCTTCATAAATAAAAATGAATCGCTCATCATAAATATGATACTAAGATTATAAACATTCAATATTTTAATCAAAGTATCAAACTCACATATTACAATTTAACTACATAAAAATTTTGTACACCTAAATGAGTAATTGAGTGTTTGAGAAAAGTATAAAGTATAATTCAATACTTTAATTATACTTATTATGTAGTTGTTTTAATACATTCACAAGTACTTATTACAATCAAATTTTTATTTTACATGACTAATTGAGTAATTGAGTTGTTTAAGTAAATAAAGAGATTTATGGATGATTCTTTATACTTGTATTGCACTTACCGTAATACAATTGCAATACAAGTATACTTAGGATGTTTTCTTTTGGACGGTTTTCAGTCTCAGACTAGATTTCCGTAGATATAAAATATACAAAGACCAGACGTTTATCAGACCAGACCAGACCAGCAAATTCCAATGCAAAAGAAAACATCATTAGACCCTACTCCCTAGCCGCACTAACAATTGAAAAAAAAAAAAAAGTAAACAACTCAACGATGTGCAATCTAACAAAAGTAATCCACTATCTAATGAAATGAACTAAATCAAATTGTTAGAAGAATTACAAGGTCTGTGTTTAAAGGTACGAAGTGTTAAACGGCTTGGCTGCTAGAAAAATTTCTCTCTCTCTAGGGTTGCCTTTGGGTAACGCTTAGCGTTTTTTTCGTCCGCCATCGACTTAGTCGAGGGGTGGGGCTGGGGTTTCTCCCGCCGTTTTGTGGATTCTCGTTTGTTTGTATTTAGTAATTCGGCTTTGGGAAGGGATTCGATCGCAAAGAGGGTTTGTTTTGATGGATTTGGTGCTGAGACGGGCGGCGGCTGATTCGATGCGGCTAGATTGAAGGAGCTTCAAACTGCGGTAAGGTTCTGGCAGAAGGTTAAAGCAACAGTTTTGCATGGAAAGCTTTGTGGACAAGTACAAGAAGATGGCGATTGGGGCAGAGGAAGAACTGGATCTAGGGTGTTTTTACTTGGACTGTAATTTGTCCCAGACTAGACCAGATCAGACCAGACCAGACTTGAGTAGTTATAAAAATATAAAAAAACCAGACCAGACTAGCAAATTACAATTCAAGTAAAAACATCCCTAGATGAACCTGATGTTGAGGTTGTGGCGGATGAGCGGCGGGCGCGTCCCCCTCCCAAGCCACCGCCATGGAGTGCAAGCAAATCTAGGGTTTGGAAGGAGATGAGTAAACTCTATTTTAAATCTGTTTTATTCAGTTTGTGTTTTTCTGTCGAATTGCATGTTGTTTTGGACACATGGGTGGAGATAGGGGTGGGCCAACCTTGGCCCTGGCCCAGCCCAAATTTCAAAAATGCCTTTATTTTTAGTGTAAAAAATTCCAGGCAAAAAAAATTCAAAAAATATTCTTTGTATCGGCCCAGTGTCCTGGATCCGCCCCTGTTTGGATGTGTTCTTTTTTCCTAGCAGATAAATTCTTGAATTTAGGGTAGGTGATGAGAAGTCTGGTTTGTCAGTCATTGGTTCGGTTAAGTCCATTACAGGATCAGCGAATATTATTGTATCTACAGAGGTGATAGATTCTCAGTCTGGTTCGAGGGCGGACGGCAGACATAAGGGTTTTTATTGTTTTGTTTACTTATTTTTCCTTGATTGTATTATAAGCCATGTGACGAACATTATTTTGATTTAATATATTAGTTGGATTTGATGATAAAAAAAGGTGCGAAGTGTTGAACTGCCATTTGTGGCTTGGCGTGTGAGGTCTAATTGCCGAATAATTAATTAAAGGAAAAATAATTAATAAATTTTCCTACTCGCCGCTTGCCAGACGGTACTCACCGCCGTTGCTACTTGTCATACTCATCCAACTTTTTCCTATGGGAATTGATATTTAATTAAAAATCTGCAATTTAAATTAAATGCACAAATATATTAGTATTAGGCTTATTTTAAAAATTGGAGGCCCTTCTAATTTGGGGGCCCTAGACACTTGTCTACGGAAAATGCCCCCATGGCCGGCCCTGAGTATTTCCCACTGGTAGATTTGTGTTGAGGTCTCAATCTTAATTTGAAGGAGGAAAATGATGAAAAGGAGGAAGAAGAGGAGTTTTCACAAGACAATAGTTTAACGTATAAAAATGAATAAATTGTGGGCATTCTTATTTGTGTGTTTTTCAAAAAATACGAACACTATACTAAATAAATTTTTGTTTATCTTCAACAAAAATAACGTTTTGTTTTCTCACTTTATTTAGAATTTCAGCCTCTACATTCTATGGAGTCATATTACTTAATCTCAATTTTTAGAAGTTTTTTTGGAAGACTCAATTTTTAGAAGTTAGAACTGTAAACAATCACTTATCTTTTAATTTTTTAGAATTTTTGTAAATTTCAAATTCGATGTTAGAACGAATGACGGTCGGCCCTAGGGGAAACCCTGGAGAGCCATCTCCCACCTTCTCCGAGTTCTGACTTTCAAGTCTTTTCTTCTTCAAACATCAAGAGTTTTGGAAGATGGTGATGTTCTCTTCTGTGCTTCCAGCCTTGTTTAATCTCTACGTTCCGGGGTTTTAATCCGGCATCTTATTTGGTCGAGAGTTATGTCCGCTTCATGTGAGAGTGTGATATGTTTTTCTCTTAGTGATCTGTGGATTCCTCATCAAAGTAATCGATCTAATGAGTTTTCTTTATTCATGGTTGTCATAGCATTTTCATCTTTGTTGTTTTGAGGCTTTCGTTATTCGCCCTCCACCTGAACCACCTCCTCGCTCCGGGAAAATGAAAGCGTTCAACGGAATCTCCTTTTCGGTGACTGGTAAAACTGATGATTTCGACAATTTCAGTTCAATACAGTTTCATTTTTTAGTTGCTAGTCAAATCAAGTCTTCATTTCCAGTGGCTGGTGAAGCCAGATTTTTTATTTGCAATTTTTTATTTTTTATTTAAAGTAGCAAGTGCAACAAAGTTGTTAGACTAGACTACATTATTGCGGGGTTATCGATCTAGAAGTATTCATAGATCTGTTCTGTTCAAAGTCTCATCCCATTGTAGCCTTAGATTATTCGTTTACTTGTTTCTTTGCTATTATTTGATATGAATATATTTGTTATTTGATTTAAAAAGTGTCAAAATCCCATATACTATGACCAAATGAGTATTAGCCTACATCTAATTTTCTAATTTAGCATTAGTATATGAAACAATTTTTGTTCACAAGTCAAAATTTATAAGAGTTGTGCTTGGTGTACACATATTGGTGTATACTTTTTGTACATTCATCTGTCTCACGCACACAAAATTGTCTGTTCACAGACAATTCTACAGAGTTGTTTGTGGGCAGACAACTCTGTTTGCGTGAGATAGACAAATGTACAAAAAGTATACACAAATATGTGTACCCCAACATTTTTCAATTTATAAACCGAAATAGGACTATGAAAGGGGCAACATCGAGAGATCTATCATCCATCCCATTTCTCTCCTAATTTCTTCACCCCAAACAATCTCAATCCAAACCAGCAATACTTGCATGAATGAGGAACCAAATAACGATCTACCCCGTACGCGATCATTTACCAAATTAATTACGGTTCAACAGAAAAACGGGGAGGGACCCACTGGTTGTGGGCCCACATTATTCCGGTTCCTTGTTAAAACAACCCTGAGCCGTCCATCATCATCACCTTCTTCTTCTTCTATGGTAGGGTTTTCTGGGTCCCTCCAGAGAGTAAGTGGGCCTCCTTCTAGGGTTCCTTCCTCTCTCTATATCTTCTCTTCATACACGTAATATCTTTTCAATGCTTTTATTTTCAGGAAATAAAACACAAATTCCAGGCTAGCTTCAGTCAACGAATACAAGGATATGCTTCTTCATCAAACGACGCCGTGGTAGAAGTTGCAGCCGGTTCTGTTTCCGGTAATTGATCGCTTTCTGGATTCGATTTCTGAAATTAGTTTTCGGTCTGTGTAATTATGGCGTCCAGTGAAATTCGGCAAGAGAAATTCGATGCCGACGAGGAGGTGAACGGTCCGGCAGATCCGCTGCTGGGAGACCCGCTCGAATACACGATTACGGCGGTCGGTCCGCCGTCGGAAGCGTTCGGCGCTGGTTCCTCGAACAGTCTGGCCTTGTTGAAGGCGGAGCCGGTGGACAACAATTTGCAGGTGGCGGTGCCGCTTCAGGTCAAGCCATTGGCGAAACGGTCCTCCAAGGACCGCCATACCAAGGTGGAGGGTCGGGGGAGGAGGGTTCGCATGCCGGCGGCGTGTGCGGCGAGGATTTTTCAGTTGACCAGGGAGCTTGGCCACAAGTCCGACGGCGAGACCATCCGGTGGCTCCTCGAGCGGGCGGAGCCGGCCATCATTGAAGCCACTGGTACGGGTACGATTCCAGCTATCGCCGTCTCCGTGAACGGTGAGCTTAAGATACCAACGACTTCCCCGGCGACGGAAAACGGTGGGGTCGGTGGAGAATCCTCCTCGACGAAGAAGAGAAAGAAGGGTCCCAACAGTGAGTTTTTCGACGTGAATGGGCCTTCCCATTTTGCCCCTGTCTCTCCGATCAGTCCACAGGGGCTGCTTCCTGTGTGGGCAGTTGGTTCCGGGAACGGGGTAGTCCCCACCGGAGCTGTTCCCGGCGGGGCGTTCCTGATGCTGCCGCAGCCGACGTCAGCCGCCGGAGGTTCAAGCCAAGCCCAGTTGTGGGCGATCCCTGCGACGGCGGCCGCCGTTTACAGCGTCCCGGGCAGACCGATTTCTAGCTTCGTCTCCGCAGTGCAACCGGGCGTTTGCTTTCCCCACGGGGAAGTTCTAGCCCAGCCGAACTCCTCCGCGTCAAACGGCAGTTTCGGCCCAGATAACAATTCCGGCAAGGAGATGTCCACAATGGCCCCCATTTCCAGTTCTACTAGTCCCACCAGCTCCTCAAACGGCGCCGTAACCACCGCCCAAATGCTCAGAGACTTTTCTCTGCAGATTTACGACAAGAGAGAGCATCAATTCATGGACGCTTCCGGGTCTCCATCGAACGAGCTTACCCACAGAACGCCTGAAAATCACAACCAAAGATGAGAAATGGCCGTAATCAGTAATGAGCTATAATCTTTTTTTGTTTTGTTTCAATTAGTCATTAGTTTGATATTAGCAATGTCTAATTGTCCATGTTTTCAGTTCATCAAATGGAACTGTATAAAGATTGTTTTTGTATTTTGATTTAGCAGATCATATCAAATGATGGTTGGATTGAACTTTTGAGATGCTCTGATGTTGTCAATTCACTTGATTAATGTTTAACATGCATATCTTTCTAAACTAACAATGTCTTAAACTGTTCTCCTATTAAACTAAACAAAACTAAAATGAAATTAACGATAGACATTAAACAAAAATGAATTAAAAATCAAAATTGATACGGGAAAATGATAAAATATGCAAATAAGAAGAATCAATTTGCAAAACTAATGAGATTGACGTGAAGCATTTGACAAGTCCCAGTCAAGATAGAGGTGGAAAAGGGGGCACGTGAGAAAGGATTGAGGGGGGCCCACCAAAGGAGATAGGCGTGGTCCCCAAAGTGAAGGGGTGGGTCAAAGATAAAGTGAAAGGAAAAAAGAAGGGGTCAGCAGCAATCCGTGCGGGGAGCGGTGGGGTCGGTGTGGAAGGAATAGATGTGGTGGTCCGCAGGCGTCGCCGGGTGAGCTGCCAGGGCGGCTTCTCGTGGGCCATCTCACCGTTTCGCAAATCTATCCATATCATCATTGTCGCCCCTCTCTCACGAGTCATGACCAACACGTAAAACAGTGTTTCCTTTTTTCTTCACAATTTGTTCTATTTTACCCACTCAAATTTTATAGTTCTTTCGTCCCGAAATTATCTTCATTCTTTTCATTTCGATCCGTTCCACTCAAATACCGTGGTATAACGGTATAAGACCGACTCACTACTCAACAATTACTTATAATTCTAATATATTGTAGAAATCCATTACAATTTTGAAGCCCAAAATTAATATTTAAGTTGGTTACAAATACAAAAATACAAAAATAAAGGCCCAATTTCTCAAATCCATTATGACCTTATAGGCTTCTACTACGCTAACCTTAATGACTAATGAGTAATGTGCAAATGTCAAGAAACAAGTTCATCTTGTTCCAAGATCTTGCAAGTCGTGATGGCTAGGCCGCTGAGTAGCTGACGTGTGAAGAGAGATACACTTATGTAACAAGTGTATCTACATAGGGATTCCACGAGTCGAGACACACAACTTTGTCCGAAAGTCTTATTCAATTTTTAAAAAAATTGTAAAAATGACTAAATACACAATATCATATTAGGAATAAATGATTTTTATATCCATGTTGTTTGAATAGTTTTATTTATTTTTGTTAGAGATCACTACTGATTTAATTATATCTATATTGTTCAAGTTATTTTAGGAGAATGTGTTACTTTTTAATATGTGACATGTTGAACTGCTTAAATTTACTAATAATAATAATAACTATAGTTCAATATTAAATTGACATCAATAGATTATTAATTGTATTTCGTAACATTTTAATAATAGATTTAATATGTCGCTAGTAATAATGATTTAGTATATTTCATTAGTCTATGATAAGTTTTTGTATTGGGAGACATGCACGATAATTTACCGATACCGTATCGTTACCGAACCGAAATTTCGGTATACAGAAATTTCGGTATACCGAAACTTCGGTAAGGTAAAGGTATACAAATTTTGCATACCGAAAGTTTTGGTAGGCAAAGGTATGAGAAAAAATATAAGGTATACCGTACCGAACCACCCCTATTCACAACCATTCTTAGACATTTATCTTTCCTCTGCACAACTATGAACTACACATTTCCCATTATCTTAATCCACGTACCCAATCAAAATCGAAGTTAATTCTGGGACAGACGGAGTACTCCGTAGGAGCTTGATTGGCAACATGGCAACACTTATAATCCCATAAAATTAATGAAATTTTGATTAAAGAGATTTCAATTTAAAACACGTTGAGAAAATCATATTTTAAGTAAAAAACACGTTGATTTCAACGAAACACGTTGGTAGTGTTTGGTAAATAAGTGATTTTGTGTAATTGAAAAAGTAAAAAACACTTTTCTCACAAAAGCCGAGAAACACTTTTTTAAGTAGAAGTTGTCACTTGAAAGCACTAATTTTAGTTTTTTAAGCCAAAAGTTGAGAAGTGTTTTTTAAGCAGTTGCAAACACTCACTAAGAACGATGGAGATGACTTTTACAATACCTTAGTCAATTAGGGAGTGACATTAACAATCTCAGAAACACGGAACTGGATACGTGACAGAGAAAAAATATACGGAAAATAGTTTTTTTATCATAAAAGAGCAACCGTTATATTAAAATAAAAACACATACAAGATAATTTTTAGACAGAATTTACATATGCAATTGTGAACCTAGAAGTAAATTTAGAGTAAGCCACCTCATACAAAGCAACGTGACTCGCTAAACCTGAAACAGGCAAAGTAGGCCTAAAACGATCAGAACCGAAACTCTGCCTATCAAAAGAACTTCTAAAATCCAAACATTCAAACCAAATCTACTCGCACTAAAACAGAAACAATTGCTACTAAAGAGAAAATAATACTGAAAGAAATTCTTTCCAGAAAGCTCTTACTGGTGTGGAGGTGATTCCGGAGGAGGATGAGTTCTTACAAGTTACAATATGGGTGAATACCAACTCCACCACCGTCGGAATGGCCGACTAAAGCTTCACGATCCAGCATCAATACAACCTCCCAGCCGCACGCCCGCACCTCATTCATCCGCCAACGATATCTCTTCTGACGTAGTTGCAATCCCAAGCGTTAGAACACTTAAAATCAGTATAATTTGCCGCTCCAACCCCATATTGATAGGGGCAGTGGAAAATCTCAACTCCTACAAAAAGGGGAGACGGCCGCTAGGGTTCTCTCTAGAGAAAACATAGAGTTTTTGGAGTTCTACTCGTTTTAATTATGAAAAGATAATTACAACAGTCATCTACACCGGTAATTAAAACAAATGTCACGTGTTTAGTTAAAATTAGTTGTTATGACTAATAAGCTGAAAAATGAAGATTTATCAAATGGGCTCAAAATAAATAAACAACTCGTTCGTGGTGGACACGTCAACCACGGACGTTTGAGAGTACAATGAAAACAATCTCGGTGGCACCTCAGCCGTCGCGTTGGACGCGGTTTGGTGGCAGCAAGCGTCCGACGGTCTAAGCTTTGCGTTGGTCGCGGTTCAGCAGGTTCGGATGGGCGAGCGGAATGAGTCACATGTTTGGCTACCCGGTCTGAGCTTCGACGGGCGGTGCAAAGCTTCCGACGGCCTGCACTGTGCGATGAATCGGCCGGCCGCTGCTGCGCTTAGGTCGTCTGAAATGGTCGCTGTTGCGCGTAACTTCAATTGTTGGAGTGATAGGGTTGAAAATGACGAAGATGCGCCTAACTTCAATTTTTATTTATAGGCGCTTATGGGCGAGAAGCGCCGCACGCCGTTTAATTGTTTTAAAATTTTACGTTTCGAGGCGCTTTACCGAGTAGAAGCGCCGCACGCTTCGTTATTTTTTGTTTATTTTTGACGGAAAAAATATTTGGAGGCGTTTTTCTAATTCGAAGCGCCGCACGTGTAAATTTTCGAATTTTTAATTAATTAAGAGGCGCTTTTTGTATAAAACGCCTCAAGTGAAGCGCCCTTTGATTGACGTTTTTCCACTGGTGAGTTAGTAAATATCCTTCAAGAATTAAAAAGAGGGCTTGGTTTATGTTTAGACAATACATGTAGCCATCTTAATCCAGACATGATTTAATGAAGAAAAAGTAAACAACCAAGTCTTTAATTGTCAGTTCAATATATGGCTGTAGGGTGCGAATATGGTGGTATGTTACTCTCTAAGCTAAGGTAGGAGTATCTTTAAGACATCTGAGGGAGAGAATGTGATTTGAGTGCAATTGGGCAATGGAGTCTACTCCAAGATTTTTAAAAACAGAAACGTTAAGTCATTGAATTGGTATATGCTCTAAATGAATATGACAATAATGAAATTTTCATGAAGTATCTAATATGAATTGGAATTTGACACGCGTACACAACAATTCAACAAGCTAAGAAGAGTTGCAGCATGTAACGATATAATGGATGGTCATTTAGTTGTAGAAAATTGGATGATACAAAGTTGGTACGTCCATTTTTTGTGTTTAGAAAACCCAAATCAACAAAATAAAATTGAGAGTTCATAAACCGACTTTCAAAATTCTTACTCCCTCCATTACATATATATGTTTCCATTTGAAAAGTAGGTAGATTAAGAATAGTGAAAGAGGATATAAATTATTGAGGGTATGATGGGAAGATAGTGAAATAATGTGATGGAATGAAGGATAAATCCAAAAAAAGTAGGTGTAATAGTGTATTATTTTTAAAATTATTGAAGGTATGATGGGAAGATTTAGAAATGAGAAGATATGAATGTTACATCCAAAAAAGGAAAGTGGGAAGATATGAATGTTACAGAGGGAGTATGTGTTTGCCTAAACCAAAATGGTGAATTCGTTATTCAAAATCAAGTTGATCACATAGTGTATCTTCGAACAAGTAAATTAGTATATTCCTAATTTAAAATAGGGAAAAGTACGGATGTACTTGTGGTTGAGCCCATTTTTTTTATCAAAGTGGTTCATGTGTTTGAATTCCGTTATCACAAGAGGGTCACGCCGTTAAAAACTTCTGAAAAAGACCGTTAAAAGTAACTCCGATTTTCAAAAGTGCCCGAAAATACATATATATGCATTAAATTAAAGCTTATTGATTTGGACATATTCTGTGAGTTTACTTTTAATAATACATGTGATAAACTATGCATTGAAATACATATATATGCATTAAATTAAAGCTTCTTATGTTATAGGTTTAATGAATAGGGCCTAATATATTGATCATAGTGGTTAAACTCCATCCCACATTAACTGATGATGATTTTTCTGTAGTAGTTGTGTTTGTATACCTATAATGACATAAGATAATCGCAATACCATCTTCTAATTTCTATGTCCTCTTTAAAACATGGTTCCATACTGTGAGTTTTATACAAGTAATGTCTTGAAGGGATGCAATTTTTTAATCTTCTTCTTATTGTGTATCCCAAATATATAAAATGCATCTTTGTCCATAATAATCTGTTTAATCAATTCAGGTGTAACACAGCCTAATGATTGTAGTGGCATGGTCCTCAAGACCTTTTAGCTGATGACTTTGATTGGTCTTAGAATGGTGAAG